GTAAGTAGTAACATATGTAATAATCAATTTCGTTTATTTATTGATAATTCTCTTTCTCTCTCTCTCTCTCTCTCTCTCTCTCTGTTTTCTTATATTTTTTTTCTTCCCCCCCCTTTATCTTTCCCCTCTTTTTTCTATTAATTATTTTCCTCCAATATTATCGCACATTTAGACAACTTTTTAATTCCTATAAAGTTTCTCACGAAATAGAATTTTAATATTACTTATTATATTTGATTATAGCTCGTACTTAAAAAAACAAAAAAAAAAAAAAAAAAAGAAAAAAATCAAATCGAATCAAAGACATTGCACGTGAGATAGATGCAATTGAATTCTTTCTTTTCTTTTCTTTTTTTTTTTTTTTTTTTTTGATAGCAATAAAAGAGAAAAAAAAGGAAAAAGTGTAAATAAAATTAAAAATTAAAACATTAAAGAGACGAAACTTATTAATATTCTATAATGACACTATTATATATAATACGATTAAATAAACGCGCTTTGTAAGATATTAAAAATCATCCCGTTAGATATCATCTATCTCGAATCGATCCTTTAAACTAACTTTATGTAAGACGAATCACGTGAAAGTCACAGCGGGAAAGAGCCGTTTCGTCTTTTTCATTCGTGAAAAGTGAATTTCGGTGCACGTACCGTGTAGGAAGAAACGGAAGCTCTCGTCCCTTATAGGACAAAATAGAATTCGTGGTAAGGTATAAGTGTCTCTCTCTCTATCTCTCTCTCTCTCTCTCTTTCTTTCTCTCCCCCTCTCTCTCTTTCTCTTTCTCTCTGTCTTTGTCGAAGCTTTCGCAGGCTATTGCTTCAGGCTTGCGATGCACTAGCAACGTACTGAAGGAGAAAGAGAGACAGAGAGATAGAGAGAGATAGAGAGAGATAGAGAGAGATAGAGAGAGATAGAGATAGAGAGAGAGAGAGAGAGAGAGAGAGAGAAAGAGAAAGCTGCTTGAAGAACACACAATTTAATAATAGAGAAAGGAGCTCGGCGACAAAGCGAGGCTTTGTCGGCTCGTTTCTCTCTCTCTCTCTCTCTCTTTCTCTCTTTCTCTCTAACATTTCACGATAGAGAACACAGTTGTTGGACAAAGATAGAGATAGACAGAGAAGGGCTCGAAGTACCTCTGGTGAGACATAAAAGTAAGCTCGGGCGAACCGCGACACACCATTACCGTTTCCACCCTCTGTAGTGGCCTATTGTTACGTTACTGCCACTCCTAAATACCAGGCGCGTGCCTTTTCTTCGCCTACTTCCTGCCACTGGCTTTCTCTCTCTCTCTCTCTCTCTCTCTCTCTTTCTCTTTTCCTCTCCCTTTCTCTCTCTCTCTCTCTCCCACTCCCTATGTCTCTATCTATCTCTCTATCTATCTGTCTATCTATCTATCTATCTATCTATCTCTCTGTCTGTCTGCCTCTCTCTCTCTCTCTCTCTCTCTCTTTCTCTTTCTCTCTCTAGCTTTAGCTTTAGTTTTAGCTCTAGCTCTAATTCTAGTTCTAGCTTTAGCTCTTCTTTAAGGCAATTAAAGCGGTATAGAAATGCGGTTCACTTGGATATTGGAGAGATTCGTCAGTAAGATCATACTGAAATTAGGAGCTTAAGGATATTCCACTAATTTCAATTCGGCAACATAGAAATTAATGTGAGACTAGGTCGGAAGACATAAGTGAATTTTTTTCTTTTCTTTTTTTTTTTGTTTTATTATTTTTTATTTTTTTCTTTTTTTTTTATTATTTTTTTTTTTTTTTCACTATGAAAGAATAATTATTGTTACCGTAGCGAACGTATTCCAAAGGGAAAACATTTGCATAATATTCTGCCAGTCGTAATATTAATTTTTAACAACGTGCTCCGCGTGCGTGCGTTGAATTGGTCATCTCTTTTCTTGTTCTTTTTTTTTTTTCTTTTTTTGCTTTTTTTTTGTTCCTTTTCTTTTTCTGATTTTTCATTCTTCTATTTATTTATTTGTTTATTTATTTATTTATTTTTTTGTTTTTTTTTTTAATACTACGAAATTTACTACGAAATTTCTTTTTATTTTCTTTTTTTTCTGTTTTTTTTTTTTTTTTTTCCATGTTTTACTTTTTTCTGTAGAATTTCAATTTTATATATCCTTTAACGTGGAAGAGAAAATATAATATTCCTGGGGCATAGAAATATTTAATATTTTTCTTTTTTTTTTTTTACTTGAATACACTCTTTTAGACTTTTTAAAAAGTAAAAGATTAAAAATAAAAGTTGCATTCTCTTTACCGTGTACGTGAAAATATCTACCAAATGAAAGTTAACTTAAATAAGAGTAATAAGATATTAAAATATACACGTATCCTGGTATAAAGGATTCATTCGAAAGTATCCAATTTCTAAAACATTTTTTGCAAAGTTCATTGAAGTACAATAAACAATTTTAAAGCAAATTGATCGAAAGAAAAAGGAAAAGGAAAAGAAAATAAAAAAAAAAAATAAAAAAAATCTTGAACCCTTTCAAAGAGATCTTGGAGTATACAAAAATATAGTAAACGAGTATATACACACAGAGAAAAAAAGAAATAAAAAGGAAGAAAGAGAAAGATTTTCATCTCTTTCTCTCTCTCTCTCTCTCTCTCTCTCTCTCTCTCTCAAAAAGCAACGAATTATCTCTGTAGTTAAAATGAGGCTAATTAATTTGGCGACATTGCGAGGAAAGGAGGGTTGAATTACGTTCGTTATGCGTCGTCCCTGCTCGCTCATTTTGCTTGTAAGATTGGAAAGGAAGTGTGGGTGTGGGATTTGGGGTGGGTGGTGGGTGTATAGGACAGAGGAGCATTGCGAGGGACTAAAGAAAGAGGATTGTTTTTACCATGAGTCTTTTCCCTATGGAGATGTAGATACGTGTATGGGTGAGGATTGAGGGTGAGAGTGAGGATAAAGGTGAGAGTGCGGGTGTGGGTGTGCTCGCGCACCCAGCCACCTGGATCATCCTTTTAGGCGTCCGCTTAATTCTATTCGAAGCCGTATCCTGGCTAAAGGCTTTTGTCAACGGGCATTACACGACCGCTTTGAAGTGAAATTGCGATCGAGTAATGCAGTAGCTTCGCGTCCGCGGAATGCATTAGCGTATTCGGATCAAGATTTTCTTCAATGTGATTAAATGGACAAGAATTTTCGATATCTTTTCTTTAGATTTGATATCAAAAAATTATATATATATATGTGTGTGTGTGTATACGTGTATATGTTTATGTATGCGTCAATATATTTCTTGTTTTATTTATAATCATTTTTTTCTTCTTCTTTTCTTTTTTTTTTGTTTTTCTTATACGTAGAAATTTATTTATTCATTTAATCGTATCAATCTGTCCTTAATATATTTCTATGTGTTATTTAATATTTAATAAATTGAGAGAGTAAATTTTATTTATTATTATTTATTTAAATTATACGATAAAAGTATCGTATAATTGTAAGATCATTCATTCGAGACGTACTTTTTGTATTTGATTTATTATTTTTTATAAAATTTGTTTTCAATTTCATTTCAACAATTTCTTTCTTTTCTATTCTTCTTCCTTTTCTTTCTTTCTCCTTTTGATAATTATTTTATACATTTCGTTATATATACGAATGATAATTCGTGATGGGAATTAATTGTACTATGACATGGAGATTATTTTATACATTTCGTTTACTTATTTATCGAAAATTATTATTATTATTATTATTATTATTATTATTATTATTATTATTATTATTATTATTATTATTATTATTATTACTTTATTTTTTTTTTATTTATTGATCGACATCATCGTCATTATCATCATCATTATTTTCATCGTTATTTATTCTTTTTCAATTCATTTTGAAATTAAACCACGTTATAGATTGATCTGTCACATAAAATCCTTTGAGCGGTGAATAATTTCACCTAACTAATTACCGAAACGTCATAAAAGTAACAACAAATATATAATTAAAATATCAAGTTCATACGATAATTAACTACAATATTAATTTGCCCCTGTGAAAAATCAAAATCGATAAGTACAAATTTTACATATGTAAAATGTGAACTATTGAAGTCATTAAAAAAGAAAGAAAGAAAAAAAAAAAAAAAAAAAGAAAAAAAAAACAAGAAAGAAAAAAGAAGAAAAAACAAGTCTCGACGTGGTTACGTACATTCGTTAAAATTTTCAAAAACGACATAATTGTAAGAAACATAATTCATAATGAACGCTCGATCTTTTAAATCCCCCTTAAGACTGGCATAAGGCGTAAGAATCTTCGTCGTTCTTTTTAGGTGAGAACCACAGAAATACATGTACCCGTAAAAAGGTACGAATATTTTCGAGCCTTATCAAGATTTAACATCGGCTCGTTCGAGGATCTTCTCTCTCTCTCTCTCTCTCTCTCCCTCTCTCTTTTTCTCTCTTTCTCTCTCCTTCTTATGGACTTCATAAAACTTTATGTAGAAAAGGGAGAGGGGAAGAAAAAAAAAAGAAAGAAATACATAAAGACAGAAATAGAGACAGAGAGAGAGAGAGAGAGAGAGAGAGAGAATTCTCAACTCGTCCTATCGAGGACTCTCGCGAAACTTTTCATCTTAAATCCACGTGATCGAAGTTTTTCGAGAGTAGATCCTTCAACGTTTCAACGAATGTAAATTCCTTCATCTATACTTTACCAAAAAAGCGTATGAACTTTTTCCATAGTAAGGTATGTTTCTCGATCGATCAGATCTATGGTATATCATCCTCGTTACGATCGAAAAAGAAAATAACGAAAGGGAAGAAGAATGATATTCTTTTTTCTTTTTTTTTTCTTCTCTCTCTCTCTCTCTTTCTCTCTTTTCTTTTCTTTTTTCTGTCTTTTTTTTCGAACACAGACTGCAAGTCTATCTCCAAAAAAAAAAATTCGCGTTCTCTTTGTAACATATAATCGATATAATCCATAAAACTGTCGAACATTCCTGGCAGCTGAAAGTGAAGATCATAAAAGCTACTACGAGAGA